AAAAAAAAAAAAAAGGAGTTCGCTCAATCATGTAGTAGTGTTTTGCTAAAGGTTTCTCAAGTCTCAACAGTAACAACATTGTTGTGTCAATTGGTCGGCAATCAACCATATTGGTCCATCCAAGATAATTATCTTTTCGCAATATACCACACTTAAGTTGGACTGGGCCACCTCTATGACAAAATAATATGTGACCCAATCCAAACTTTGCTTTAAATTTGAATAAGGAGATACCATTTGGTGCCTCAATCTCTTTAGGATAGTTAACCATAATATCAACGTCATCCACACACAAAAAGGATGCATTGACCTTGATTGGAACATTGGTAGGAGATGGAATAATACACCGAGCCTAAGTAGGGTGTCCCAGGATATTAGAAATATAAAACAAGAATAACAACTACGGCTGAATTGGAGGATAACACAATGAATTTCTGCAGTCGATCGTATGGTCGGAGGCTCCTAAAGTTTTTATGTAACACAGTAAGTGACATTGACATGCTGACATGGCATTGTATTGTGGACATGGCACACATGATGATGTGGTTCTTACTGGACTAAGTGATGTGCTCTACCTCTACTAGCTAAATGGTACGCTGAGATGGCAGTGCTAATTAGACTACAGACAGGGACGACATGTTAATGTGGTTGATGACGTCTATGTGTGGAAGTTTATACACCAACAGTAACGGTAATGTTGTTGGCTCGAGTAAGAGTGCATGGCAGTGTCTCTGTTGACAACTGTGGTCATCTCCACGAGATGAACTATAATGTGGTTGTTTCCACAAGACGAACTATAAATGTGGTCACTGACTAACTTGACCACCGAGATTGGTACCAGTGTCGAGGCAATGAGTGTGCCGGCTTACTTACAAAGCTGAAAGATTTTCTCAATGAAAGAAACAACCTAGATTCTACAATTGCCTCTATTTGGATTAACACCACGTAAACCAAGAGGAAAGAAGAAAGAAATTCAATTAATGATAAATGCTCTATTCCTTAGTGATAAATACTCCATCCGTCCTATTTTATATGATGGTACTTGATTACATAAGAAGTTTAAGTTGTTAATCTGATGTATTATATTAGTGATAGTGGAGAGAAATATTAACGTAACAGTGGAAAAGTTAGTTAGATATAGATAATGTCACGTCAATGTTCCAAATCTGAATAGTTTAACAATTTGAATTCCTAAAAGTAGTGAAAGTTGTTGTAGTAGTGGAATAGTGTCAAACATTTTAAATCCTAAAATGGAAAGAACGTCATATACTACAGAGAACAAATACATAAGGTTTCGTCATATAGGGACATATGCTACATGAAATAAGTGGACTACAGTGCCTTACCAGTTTCCTATTAGGAGGATGGTTAAATCGGCAAGTTGATCCAAACCTACAGAGACCAGTCCTGATGTAGTAGGAACAATCTGGTTCACCTTCACGGACAGGATAATGTCCCGACTCAATTGATTCCCTTGATCTCAAGTTCATTTGCCACAGAGTGTCTGAAAAAACAAGTGGATACGCAATGACACTACTTCATCTTAAGTAATATTAGTATTGATACCAGTTCCATAAACTTCTTCTCTAAGTTCTGGACCTTGTTAACTCATTTTACCAGCATTTGATCTTGAAAAATAAAACAACTTAATAAGGTGCATTTTTTTTCTTGCTTATACGGTTCTATATTTCGTTTAATAAGGGTATTGTCCGAGTCAACTTGCGCATACCTTGCTTATACAATATTCGTCTAACAATAAATGTACAAGAAAGTTGATGAGTACAACCATAAGTACTTTAGGTGCATTTCATCAGCATCATAAGTCATACAAGAAATTAGAAACAATGCATCCAAAAAGCTATCAAATTCCAGCCCCAGGGCCTAGCTCAAGTGGCAAAGGGTGGTGGATTTGTGCCTTAGGTCACAGGTTCAAGCCCCCACACCATGCAAAGCAAAGCCTAGTATTTAAGTGGAGAAGGGTAGAGGGACGGCCCAATTATCCACCGAGTTTCGAAGGCTGCGGTTGGTCCAAAAGATCGGCCCCAGACGTATTTCTCGGTCATAACAAAAAAAAGCTATCAAATTTCACATGAACTCTTCTTCTTTAAACCATGTTAGACAATTCACCTAAAATTTACTAGCTACCATTTGTTGTTACAGATCCAACTCCTATAGTGCCCTTGCATATTAATTAATTTATAAATAGTGACAGATAAATCCATATATCAATAGAAGCAAAACATTGTTTTTTTTTTTTTTTCTTTGGGGGGGGGGGGGGGGGGGGTTAAAANTTTTTTCTTTGGGGGGTGGGGGGTGGGGGGTTAAAACTGTAAAAAGTGAAAGAGAAAGAAAATAATAAAGGGATGAAAAATAAATAAGGGTGCATTATCATAACACGCAGACAGAAAGTGAAAAAGACTTAGCATTTGATATACTTTTGTGAAAACAATATGCAAAATATATGAAGTAATATATTACTCTACTACCATATAAAAAACTTTTTCCCAAAAAAGAATATCCCAATTATAAAGATCCAATCTTTATCTTCTTACCTTATTTAATAAGCAACAAAAAAACAATTAAACAATT